TCCAAAAAAATAAAAAGTCCCCGAAGTTTCTCATAAAATTAGGGTATTTTCAGAACACTTTTAGAAATGTTTTTTTACTATAAAATTTTCTGTCAAAATCTCAGCTTTTTGTATAATTTTTGTACAAAAACTTAAAAAAGTGATGAAAAAAGTTGTAAAATCCTTTTTTTAAATCACATCTTTTTCTGTGTGTTTCTAATAGAATTAGAGCATTTAGAGAACATTTTGTAAATTTCTTTAAATAAAATTTTCTGTCAAAATGTGAACTTTTCATGTCATTTCTGGTCAAAATTTGATGAAAATATTTTAAATATATATTTTTTAAATGTTTTCCTTTTCTACATTTTTCTCAAAAAATTGGGGCATTTAGAGAACATTCTTTGAAAGTTTTTTAAATAAAGTTTTCTGTCAAAATTTGAACTTTTTGTGTCATTTTTGGTCAAATTTTAATTAACATTTTTTAAAAATATAATTTTCAAAATGTTTTCTTTTGCTGCATGTTTCTCATCAAATTAGGTTATGTAAAAAAACTGTTTTAGAAATGTTTTCATTAGAATGTTTGGTAGAAATCTGTACTTTTTGTGTCATTTTTGTTAAATTTGACAGACAGAGAGACAGACACACACACACGCAGACACAAACACACACAAACAGACACACACACACACACAAACAGACACACACACATAGACATACACAAACAGGCACACACACAGACAGACACAGGCACACACAGACACAGACACACATAGACACATAAACACACACAAACACACCACACACCACACACTCACGCAGACAGTTCAGGAAATTATTGGTATAGTATTTCACTGTCATCAAAAGTTGGCGTACCACAAAAAAGTTATTTTTTTTCTAAATGTTAACAACAAAAATGGACATAGCTGAGTGTATTTTTAGTCATTTTTGAGAAAAAAAATTTTTCTGAGATTTCTTCGGGAAATTATTGGTATAGTATTTCACTGTCATCAAAAGTTGGCGTACCAAAAAAAAGTATTTTTTCTAAATTTTAACAACAGTAATGGTCAAATATTGACAAAGGTTTTTGTTAAGTTATTTTACAAAATTGTATCTTTTCCTGCACGTTTCTCGCCAAATTAGGTCATGTAGATAAAACATTTTGAAATTTGAAATTAATGTTAGGAAAGTTTTTCTCTACAAACATTTTTAAAATGTTTTTTTAAAAAAAACTTGTAAATTGTAATAATCTTTGAAAAATATAGAGATTTTTACATTTTATATTTTTTGTTGAAAACACATCTTTAATTATTTGTTTGATAAATATTTATACTCATTTATAATTTATTAAAAGTATTTCTTTAAAAATATATTTTGCATTTATATATATATATATTTCATTTTCGGTTAAAAACTTTGTTAAAAACATTTTCGTAAAAAAAAAATTCTTAACCTATGTAAAAAAAAACTACATAAACTTTTCCAAAAATAGTTACAGGGCAACTGGGCAGTTTCACCTGTCAACCAAAGGCATCTTCAGTTCTGTTCTGTTCATTTCTTCAGAACTGAAGAAGCCTCTTCGATGAGAGTTGAAATGTCTTCAAGGAACCTACTTGTCCATTTGCCCTCGATGTAACTATTTTGATAAGATGACCAGGTTTGAAAAGTTAGCAATGTTTTTCTTTAGAATTTGTTTTAAACATAAAATAACTTTTTCATGAAAACTTTGCAAACTTTTTCGTTAAAAAACTTAAAGTTGTATAAACCTTTAAAACGACTGTTACTTTTACCATACTTTACTACACTACATTGTTTTTGAAAACTTTTTCCAGCTTGCATGAAATAAACACTTTTCACATCAAAACATTTATTTGCATAAATTGTGGCATGTTTCACATTTGTGGGATTAAAATCACGTTTTTTGCTGAAAAACAACAGAACTGTGCTCAGCAAACAACATTAACTATTGATGTATAAAACATTCACATAAAACCAGATACAAACAGTGTCAAGTATTATATGTACCGTATTTTCCGCACTATAATGTGCACTTAAAAGCCTTTAATTTTCTCAAAAATCGACAATGCGCCTTATAATCCGGTGCGCCTTACGTATTACTTCTTGTTGCGCTTACTGACCACGAACCGACAACAATACGGTGACCATCCAGAACAAAAATAGTGACAACTCTGGAGGGGCAAACAACAACAACAGCGTCCTCCAGTGTCCAACCTATGTCACTACCTTTTTCCACAAATCTCAGTCCCTATTGATCTGCGATTCCACGCGCCCATCTCACCGATATTGTCAAAACCCAAGTGAAGCAAACTAATTTGGGGCTAGCCATCATTCCAGGTCGATAACCACAGAATCCAACCGCTAAATATCGGTGCTAACAGGGTGTTTAAAGGTAAATTGCGAGCTGCATGGGAGCATTGGATGACAGAAGGCGAACACACATTCACCAAGACAGGGAGGGAACGCCGGACGAGTTACGCCACTAATGGATCGTGAATGCCATGGCTAAGGTATCGGTCTGAAATGTTTCACCAAGGCCGTAATTATCACTGAACAACTAATTAACAGCAACGAGACTGACTGGGATAATGACACGAGCGATCCGTACACGCCTGATTGTTCCACTTAATTGTATTGCTGACTGTTTTGTTTCGCTTAATGCGCCTTACAAGCCGGTGCGCCTTATGGTCTGGAAAATACGGTAGTTGTTATTAAAGGTAAAATCCTACTGTATTTACATTTGTTTTTGCTTTTAATCACCACTAATGCCAGCGAAGGAGTCAGGAGACTTTAAAGTAACTTTGGCTTAACAAATCCTCCACAAAAAGTTATTTGAAATTCAGACATTGCCCTTAATTCACAACTAATGCACTACTGTCATCAAACAAAATTTGGAATTTTAATGTTGACTCCAACAATCTATATCAATATCATAGACAATTATGCCTTTTATGAAAATTGATATATAAAAATTACCAAGTTGAACACGGAATTAGCAGAGAAAGAGGTAAAAAAAAAAATACAAAAGAGGCACTTAAGAATATCAAAAACACATTTACACACACAAACACAGACACAATATTATTAATCATTTCAAATTTTACACAATTAACCTGAAAATGATTTTACAATTCTATCAGATATTCTTGGCCTAAAAGGCAGAGCAGAAATCAACAAGAAGACATTACATCATCTGTGATCCTGCTCCATCGCACATGGCTTTTAGTTTTCTTCACAGACACACATTTGATCAACCAAAAAATTTTGGATTCCAAACAAGGCCTTTATGCTGCAGTTAATAACTGTACTTTGTGCCACATCTTTTTTTTCCTTTTTAAAAAAAAATCAAAACAACATTTGCTGCCTGTAAACTTGACTTTACGAAAATAAAAAGCGACAATAAAATTAAAGACATTTCATTTTTGTGCACAAAACTGTGATAAAAAGATTGTGGTCTGTGGAAAATAAATGCTGTGGGGTTTGAGCTTTTTTTGGTATTTTTGCATATTTTCTGAAAACCTTAACAGATATAGAACTAATAGATCCTGTAAATAATTACAAAAAACTGAAATACAATTTACTGCATAAATATGTTGAATAAATGTTTACTTTGTATTACTGATGTATTCAGTATTTTTTTTAAGTGAGAGCTACTTTGTAATTGACCCTAAAATACATCACTTGGACTGTATACTGGTGAAGGAGACAGTGTTTTCAACAGAAACCTTCAGAAACCTTAATACCACACAGCAAATTCACCGCAGTGTTTTTTAGCAATATTTCACAACCACAACGATGAGAGCAGTAACTTCCTGATTATAAGAAGATAATTTACAAGACATCGATAAAATATTTCAAGAAATGTACAGCTCTTTGAAGAGGAAGACACAGATTGTTGTATCAAATACTTTAAAGAAAAAATACTAAAAAGAAAAGTTCTAAGCTGAAAAACCAAACAGCACCAAAGGTGGACGTGCCCTTCAGCCTGCCTGCACATAAAGATTATTCCAGTTGTTAATTAATATATAGTGATAGAAGTTTTAAGTGTTTCCCAAACCTTGCTTTTTGCACAGACAGAAAATATATTCCCCTCATGACACAAAGCAGAAAAGGAACCAGGAATTATTTACATTAAGAAGCTGAAATCACAGCACCGATTTAATCACAATAGTTGACTAGCAGTTTTAGACCCTGTAATTAGGGCTGCCCAATAATAAGGATGATTTATTTCAAAAACTAATCAATGTGACATTTTTGATGGCCCCAAAATTATATAAGATTAAAAGAAGATTTGGGGAAAAAAAAAAACTTTTGTTAATCTTTCGTTAAACCCAGAGGTGGAAAAAGTACTAAAAAATTAGTATCTTTACTTTGCTTAAGTTCTCATGTAAAAGCAAAAGTACCTGCCTAAAACTCTTCTTAAGTAAAGGTAAAAAAAAATGACTTAATTTAAAATTTACCTTGAGTAAAAGTTACATAGTTACTTGATCCAAAAAAAGAAAGTTATAATTTCAATCTGCAACTAGTTGTTTTTAAATCAACAATTCAAATACAAATAACTTAGAATATTGGATGCTGTTTAACAACCTGGGTACATAGGGGGTGCCGCCCCCTATAGTTTATACCATCATAATATCCTTTTATCATTTTAACGTCAAATTTACTGCAAATACTCAAAGACCAGCAAAGACCAACTGAAAACTGAAAAAAATCATGCACGTGTACGAGTTGACCGTGCTCGTCTACGTCACTGAAACGGTAGCTATCGCTATGAATGTTAAGGTAGGCGAAAAATAATCGACATCACGAAGGCACGGTTTTCTTAACGTAGGAAAGTTTTAACCAAACAATAAACATAACGTTTGTGGAAACACATGTGAAAGCACAGATACTGTACTTACCGCCACATGCTTTCGTAGGTTTGACGTGGAAGTTTCGGGAAGAACAGCTCCGTCCGCCGGGGCGGGCACATTTAGTATCGCAAGATAAAGTTACAGCCTCGTTTGCTTTTGAAACTAAGAGCTGAAATATGTCCAAAGAGTTCCTTCGCTCTCTGAGTCCTCTGCTCCACGGGAGCTCTGTGCTTGGCAACCCTCAGACTCTAGTTTTTTGTTCGATATCAGCCATCATCCAACGGCAGGACGTTGCCCGTCTCTTAGCCAAGGTTATCTAGCTCCATTAGCATCGTGGGGAATCCGTGCGTGCACGCCCACGCAATTTTCATCTCAGTTAACACAGATTGTTTTTCTCCGCAATAAATTTTTAACTCGGGCTATTTTCAAATGAAGCAAAAAGTAAAATACTGGACTCAAAATGCACTTTAGTAAAGTAAAATTACCCTTTCCCAAAACTACTTAAAAATGACAAATTTACTCACAAAAAAGTACTCGATAAGAATAACAAGAGTAAATGCAATTCGTTATTTTCCACCTCTGGTTAAACCTGTGTGGTTTAAGACGTGAACAGTAATCAGTGTGTTTTTTGTTTTGTTTTGTTTTGTTTGTTATCTTGAGTATTAGTTCTGTACAGCTTCACGAGGCCACTGTCATCACTAACAGAACTGCCAACAATGCACAACAGATAAACGATGGTCCTGGAACTGTTCAAAACTAGTTCAAGTAAAGCTCAAAACTATTGCTACAACAAACTAACCTTGTCTCTACTTCACAGATTATGCTAAAATGAGATAAATACCACTGAATATTCAGACTTCATGGTTTCTTTCAACTTCAAATCTTCAAATCTGTACAGTACTTTACAGCATCATTAGATCCAGTGTGTCCCAAACCAATGAGTTCCAAAGTTGGTAACTTTTCTGGAAAAAATATAAACCTGAAAGAAAACAGTGACTCTACGTGTTTTCTAAAAATGTAAAATAATTTGAATAAATATTAAAACACAAAGTGTTTGAAAAGCGAGTCCTGTCAGAGTGGAATCCGTACTTTGTGAGAAACCAAAGCAAATTAAAGTAAAATTAAATCACAACCTTCTGAAATAGTTGACTTGTTTCTGTGGAGATGTTTTGACCAAATTGCAGGCACAACTTTGCATAAATTATTACTTTTTCACTGGTCTCAGAGCGATGTTATGACAGAACTCACAGCACCACCTGCAGGACTGTTGGTGCAAGTGATGCGTGTGTGTTCTTAAACAGAATGAAAGAATTGTTTAATACGTTTTCTTTCACATTTCTGCGTCTCTTTGACTATAAATATGGACTTGACGGCAGGAAGGGTTTGGAGAGATTGGATTATTGGATTAACATTAGTGCCAAAAAAATATGGGTTTAGTGGAGTGGACTACTTAGCCCTAAAAAACATCATGTGACCAACAAGCAAAACAAAAAATGTAACTTTTAATAAGTCTTGTAGCTTTAGTTTCCACTAGTGGTCATAGTTTTGAGATTCTAACTCCTTAAACTTACCTAAAAATCCTTAAAAAACGTTTTAATGCCATAAAATACACTTAACATCAATATTTTGCAAGTATTACCAAAGATTATCATAAGCCCTTAAGTTAAATTGAATAATCTCACTCAATCAACACTATCACCTGAACTCTTTCATGTTCAGAGACCAGTAAGGTTCGAGTTCTCCACTTGAAATGTACTTTTTAAAACCTGATTTTTTAAAAATCCTCTTCCTGTCGACTACAGAGAAATAACTTCATTGTATTCATTTCTCAACCCTCTCGCGCTACCAAACATCAGCGCTCCATCAAGTCTATTCACACTAGAACCCAGTCCTGCTCCGACCAGGTCCTGGCACATCATGGCATCGTAGGAAGACACAATAATCCCACCTCGGGTGAAGGCGGTGCTCCTCTCCTCCCTCCGCTGTTGCTCCGGTGTCGGAGCCGGAGCTCTGATCCCACTACTTCCCGCTCCGGTACTGAAACCACCACCGGTCCGTCGTTTAGATGGCGGACCCCAGAGGAAGGCGTGAGCGGGCCTGTAGTGCTGGCGGGCGTAGCGCAACAGGCGTCGGCGGGTGGCTGGGAGGCGTATGGTGTACACATAATATTCCAGGACGCTGTGGGTCATGTTGGGGAGGGTGTTGTGGTACAGAGACTCCTCCAAGAAGAGGCGGACCAACGGGGCTTTAAAGGATTCATAACCAAGTTCACCCAGAGATTTGAGGATGCGTGTGATCCGTAGGTAGTTGTGCTGGGACCTAAATAATGGATGAAAAAAAGAAAAATAAGAGAAAACCACAGGACACGATCAAAATTATTACCACGATTAATCATTATTACTAGACAGTGACCAGCAATTATTGAAAAAAAAGTCAGAAAAAATACACAAATACTTCATGTTTAGGAAATGTTTTGTAAAATTATATTTCACTAAACATGAAGATTTATTAAATGTACTTTTTGGCATGAAAACAAAGGGAAAAAAGACAGACTTTTGGTCATTTATAGGTGATTATGTTATGATTGTACTGGTCCGGTCCACTTGACAGGTAACTAGGCTGGATACGGCCCATGAACCGAGCTGAGTTTGACAACTCTGCTCTACAGTATCATCTGCATAACAACAAGTTCACAGAAACAAAGAATCGTGTGATTGGGTGAGATATCATTATAATTCCACACCTCGCCGAGCTGAAGGAAGAAGATGTTTTTAACAAGAACAAAACTTGGTGAAACTTCAGGTGCTTCCTTCACAATACAGTGAGAAAGAACAATGAGCTTTTAAATTACCATTTAACCGTCTGTCTTTTCATCAAATTGTGTTTTTTTTTCTTTTTTCACATTCCGCTGCTGATAGAAAGAAGCAATTAAGTCAGTCGGGAACTGGGAAATAATTGCGCAGCTAAAAGACACAAAGCCAGCTATTGTTAAGGCACTGATTAGTTCACACAGAATCTGGCTGCGTTTTTTATTTACTCCTTATGCTGCTGCACAAACATGTTTATCATGTCCAGGTTCCTACTCATTAAGGTGCTGGAAGCGCTCCTGCCAGTTGGGAGCTCGAGCAACGTTCCCAGTCTTATCCAGCAGTTTGATGCCGTAGAAGTCCAACATCAGGGAATAGGCCGCCAGGAATCTTTTCTTGGCTTCACGAGTGCTTTGGAATTCCTGAGGAAATGAAGTGAACAAATACAGGTCAACGGTTTGTGATGATGATAATCTCGGTCACATGATTCTGGTCAGAAGCCTCGAAAACACATCTGAATGTGTCCCATAAATTTGTATTTAAAAAATATGTATTTATTTAAAAAACAGCCTAGAAACAGCAATTATATGACAAAAAAAAAAACAACTATATATCTACGGCTACAATTTAGCAAAATGTTGTTGTGATTGGCTAACACCACCAAGTCCATTTGAGTCTCTGTATTTTACTGGTGGCTGCGGCGTAAACAAATACAAAAAAAACAAGATGATGACTAATATTCTATAAAAATATTTTTAGGAGTACATAGAGTATTAGGAGTGACCTACTTTACATGAAGATTTATTAAATGTACTTTTTGGCATGAAAACAAAGGGAAAAAAGACAGACTTTTGGTCATTTATAGGTGATTATGTTATGATTGTACTGGTCCGGTCCACTTGACAGGTAACTAGGCTGGATACGGCCCATGAACCGAGCTGAGTTTGACAACTCTGCTCTACAGTATCATCTGCATAACAACAAGTTCACAGAAACAAAGAATCGTGTGATTGGGTGAGATATCATTATAATTCCACACCTCGCCGAGCTGAAGGAAGAAGATGTTTTTAACAAGAACAAAACTTGGTGAAACTTCAGGTGCTTCCTTCACAATACAGTGAGAAAGAACAATGAGCTTTTAAATTACCATTTAACCGTCTGTCTTTTCATCAAATTGTGTTTTTTTTTCTTTTTTCACATTCCGCTGCTGATAGAAAGAAGCAATTAAGTCAGTCGGGAACTGGGAAATAATTGCGCAGCTAAAAGACACAAAGCCAGCTATTGTTAAGGCACTGATTAGTTCACACAGAATCTGGCTGCGTTTTTTATTTCCTCCTTATGCTGCTGCACAAACATGTTTATCATGTCCAGGTTCCTACTCATTAAGGTGCTGGAAGCGCTCCTGCCAGTTGGGAGCTCGAGCAACGTTCCCAGTCTTATCCAGCAGTTTGATGCCGTAGAAGTCCAACATCAGGGAATAGGCCGCCAGGAATCTTTTCTTGGCTTCACGAGTGCTTTGGAATTCCTGAGGAAATGAAGTGAACAAATACAGGTCAACGGTTTGTGATGATGATAATCTCAGTCACATGTTTCTGGTCAGAAGCCTCGAAAACACATCTGAATGTGTCCCATAAATTTGTATTTAAAAAATATGTATTTATTTAAAAAACAGCCTAGAAACAGCAATTATATGACAAAAAAAAAAACAACTATATATCTACGGCTACAATTTAGCAAAATGTTGTTGTGATTGGCTAACACCACCAAGTCCATTTGAGTCTCTGTATTTTACTGGTGGCTGCGGCGTAAACAAATACAAAAAAAACAAGATGATGACTAATATTCTATAAAAATATTTTTAGGAGTACATAGAGTATTGCAGTACAATGGAGTGACCTACTTTAATTTCGTCCTGAGTCAGTTCATATGCGTAGAAGTTCAGCCCTTGTTCTCTCAATGGGAACAGCCTGGATGGACACACACACACACACACACACACATACATAATCGAAGAGATCAAATTTAACTTCAAACCATTGTCAAAGTGTATCGAGGGATCAGTTCTCACCACTGAATGTAGGTGTGATTGTGCTCCAGTTTATCATAGTCTCCTCTCCACTGAGTCAATATTTCCTCGATGTAAATACCTGTGGGGACGTGCGTTCCAATTAGCAACAAGAAGAATGAACAAAACAGTCATTAACTTGACTTTAATGACTTTCCACTTGTCCTCTTTCATCAGGATCTGTGACTTAACATCATTTTTACACCAATGTCATTTCTGCTGCCCCCTACAGTAACTTGGGATTCCGGGACAGGATCCTTCTTTATTAATTTTTTTTATTATTATTATCAAAAAACATCACTATTTTCATTAGTTGTTATTCATATGGAAGGTAAATAATGACACTGGTGTTGACATTTAGAGGAAAATACTGTATGTGTTAAAGCATTGAGACTAAAGGAAAATAAAAAACTCTAAATCTGTTGTGTGTCATAGAATGTTAATTATTTTCACTCTCGCATTTGATATAAACATTTCCACACCAATTCGAATTCCAACTTGTTTTTTAATTAGACAAATGGAAATGTGTGTGTTTTCAAACTCACCATCAGGTACCAGAGGAATCTTGTTCAGGTAGAAGCGTAGGTTACGGTACTCACAGGGCTGCCGGGACCTTTTGTAGCGCTACACAACAGCACAAACAGACCAATGTGACACAGGCAGGTAGTCTCCAAATGTGTATGTGTGTTTTTTGTTTGTGTGTGTGTGTTCGAATATATATATATGTACACGATATTTGTAAAGATCTCTGGCAGCGTAGAAACTTCTCTTCATCTTTGGAAGAGACTCTGGGGAGTCTGTCAGCTGAGAAAAAAAATTCATATTCAAATAAATACGTCATTAATACGCAACTGCGAATATATATATATGTACATATATATACATATATAATGTATATATAAACCCAACAACACTATGATGGCGTTGTTTCCAGAGTGTTCAGCTGTGTCTGTGAACACTGACTTAGGTTTTGAGGTCGACCACTGTCATCATCCATTTCTCTCTCTCTCTGCCACCGGTGCGCAATTCACACTGCACCAACATGCAATTACTGCAAAGGGAGGCTGGGAACTGGAGGTGATCGCGGACAAAATCTGGGTCATGTAACTTTCCTCCGGTCAGAGAAGCTGGTTCTTACCTGTTTTAAATTTGAGTTCACTACAAAAAAGTATGGTTATGTAGACTATATAGATACATGTGCTCCAAAGTCCAGAGAAAAATCTAGATAGATTAGATTAGATTAGATTAGATTAGATTAGATTAGATTAGATTTTTCTCTGGACTGGAAAGTGTAGTGAAAAACTACATGAGCTACTGTTACTATTTACATTCTATTAGATTTGTTCAAAATACTTTTCAGAATGAGAAATTAAAGATGTATTTCAAATGGAATAGCTCTATTTCGAAATAGCCCCCCACCCCACTCCTCTTTGCCCTGGCCCCCTAAACCTCTTTTTATCGCCTCTGCTCCGTCTCTCCGGTCCACGGTGTTGCCCTTTGTGTCCCGGCCTCGTCAACGACGCTAAAGCCGCCAGTGTGGCACATGTTCCCGCCCCCTTTTATCTTCCAACTGCTCTCTGTAACCCGGCCTCACCCACTCGCCGCTGCTGTACCTGCGGGGACGTGGCTCCGGGCTCTGCCGGGAACCGCTCGCTCTCTGGCGGACCGAGGGGGTCGAAGATACCGCTGTCATCTTCAGCCGCCGGCGGCTCCTCGCTCTCCGAGGCCGACCCCCACGCTCAGGCGCCGTTCTG